GATCTAAACTTAGAAAAAGGAAAAGGACTCTCCCACTGTGCAGGAGACTGAGTATAACCTTTATAGTTATACTTTCATATTACTTATGTTGAGGGGAGCAGAATTGGTCACCCCAAAATGTGCCACTTTGGCAGGTGCATCATTTTGAGCTGAAAGGAATCAAAATCCAGCAGACTCAGAAGGAAGCAGCTTTTTACCGCCCCCACAACTGCCTCGAATTGAGATGGGGGCCTGTGCCAGAAAGGCAGCCATACCAGAGTAACTATCTGAAAGCCTTACCTGCACTGCAGGGCAAACACGGATTAGCACACACCCAGCTGTGAATCGCCTTCCTCCCCCTGTTCCCTTTGAAGCCCTGGCCCCATCCCTTTCCTTAGCTCAGAATAGCACAGAAGCTTCAACTGCCTCGCTGCCTCTGAGTCTCACATTTTTATGTGGCTCCCATAGGCACAAAATTAAAGGGGACCTCTGACCAGAGCCGGCGAAGGTAAGAACTGTTACCGCCTCAGTCACCTGGACAGTGGGAGAGTCCTTTTCCTTTTCCTAAGTTTAGATCAGCAGGAAAAAATACTTGTGTGAACTAGTTTCTTGGGTATAGTGACTGATAAAGATTTGTTATAAGTACTCATTTTCTATTGGTCCTTTCCCCCTTTTGTCTTTTATCATAAGAAGGAAAATCCTAGGGTAGAAAGTAGGTAAGTCCTGTAAGCCCGTGGTTTGAGCCAGCCCTGCACCTGTTTTGGGAGACTTTGATTCGGGTCCCCTATTTAAAAAAACTGAAAGAGGTTTTCCTCTCATCTTGTTCTGTCTTGAGAGTTTGGCTTTGTAACCAGTGAGAATATTCTCTCTGGCCTCGGTCAGCCAAAAAATGCAAGTACCGGTTTGTACCTGCAGCCAGCTGAGTAGACTCTGAGACAGAAGTAACAAGCATCACTCTGTCCAACTGGGTCAGCCCTTAGGGAGCTGGTCTTAAAGGCTCCCAACCAAAGGGGCCTTTGTCGTCTCAACCTTCATGGTTTTCTTAGTGCTGAGAAGTCCCAGTCCCATAGTGCCTGCCCGGTGCCACAGATGAGCAGGCCTGTGACTGGAGGCATCTCATGTTCTCTGGGAAACCAGAGACACTGTTTTCACGGCACCATTGTTTTACCACCTCTTACAGTGGTTAATTCTGGGAATGAACTTGATGGGTCTTGTGAGGGCTGCATCTTTTGCATCCTCTTTTGGGACACCTCTTCCATCCATGCTTAAGTTACACAAAGGCTTATTGGTTTGCATCACTATTAAGATTAATTAAAGATGCTACTTGTCAATGGCCAGGATCCTTTGAATTGGAAAATTTCTAAATTTAAAAAAATTTAGTTAGAGAGCTCTCATGCCAAACAATCGCCTTACTGGCACCTGTGGAAAGAGGACACACAGGAGTATTGCTGCTAACCATACAGACTCCCTTAACCAGATGAAAGAACAGAAATTACCACATCCAATGTCAATTCCCTTCTCAAAGTCCAGCTCTGCCTACCTGTTGTTGTTTTTTCAAGTATAGTTTACATTCAGTGTTATTTTGTATTAGTTTCAGGTATACCACACAGTGGCTAGACAATAATATATTTTACAAAATATCCCATATCTGATATTTCCAGTACCTACCTGGCACCATTCATAAAATTACAGTATTATTGACTCTATTTCCTATGCTGTACTTTATATCCCCATTACTGTTTAGTAATTACCAATCTGTACTTCTCAATTCCTTCACTTTTTTTCACCCAGCCTTCCCATACTCCCCTCTTTTCTGGCAACCATCAGTCTGTTCTATCTATGAGTCTGTTTCAGTTTTGTTTGTTCTTTAGATTCCACATATACCTGAAATCATATGGTATCTGTCTTTACCTGTCTGACTTATTTCACTTAGCATAATGCCCTCTACATCCATCCATGCTCTCACAAATGGTAAGATTTCATTCTTTTTTTTTATGTCCAAGTAATATTCCACTATATATATGTACCACAATCTGCCTGTTTTAACTTCCCTGGGGGTTATATAGGTTACTCAGGCATGAAATTGAGAAGAATCATGTCCTTGGTGGATGTAGTTACCTCTATATTCAGAACGTCCTACCAATTTTAGAGAGAAGTCAGAGAGATTACTATCTATCAAAACCCCGCTCACAGGGACCTTGATGCTACTGCAGTTATCAGACAAGTCAGACGGCTCTGGGGAAATCCTCTCACAGGGGAGCCGATTACTCAAGGGCTGGAAGAAGCAACAGTAGAGCCTTTCCCCCTAAGGTGAACTGATCCAAGGTTGAACACCTTATAAGGCTTTTTAAAGGCATACTGCATTACACCCTGCAGCTTTGCATACAGGCATCTTTTGATTCCCATCTTAACTGAAAATCTGCAGGTAGTTGGATGGATGGTCAAGACTGTTATTTTACAAACTGGATTCTTTGCCAAACCAGAAATGTGGCTCTAGAGACATTTCAAAGTCTACCTATCTTTACCAACCCCAAAATCTACCCTGTTCCTCTCAAAATGCTTAGAGATATTTAGAACAGAATTGTCCTAAAAAGAGGAAAAATTTAAATAGTAATTATCCTACACTTCTGATAACAGAGAAATACGTCTCACAACTCCTAGGAGAAAACATGCATTCTTTCTCCCTTGAAGATGTAAATCTTACCATGTCTTCAAAATATAAACACCTCAGGAGGTAACCAAAACACTACCCCCAATCACCTGAGACTGAAAAGGACTTTCTACAACACAGATGGCTACAGAAGCTCCCAGCCCCAGATCTAGTCCAGAGCCTCCATAAGATTACTTGTCAAGGGCAAATATACATCTTGAAAGTCTTCTCCACAAATATTAGTAAAAACCATCAGCCATTTGAGCAAGTAATCTTAACTTGTTCTACCAGAGACACAATTTGGATTCAACTGTTACTTATTAAACTAGTGAGTTTTGTATTATTGTACCTGACTCATGGCTAAAATTTTGGAATGGAAGCTATAGGGCAGCAGTTCTCAACCTGTGGGTCGCGACCCCTTTGGCGGCCGAACGACCCTTTCACAGGGGTTGCCTAAGACCATCCTGCATATCAGATATTTACATTACGATTCATAACAGTAGCAACGAAAATAATTTTATGGTTGGGTCACAACATAAGGAACTGTATTTAAAGGGCCAGAAGGTTGAGAACCACTTCTATAGGGTCTCTGTGTCGGTGTGTTTGTGAATGTCCATGGATGGATATACGTATGTTATGTATATGTGATACTTTCCTCCAATCGGATGGTACTGCCAAAATTAATTTGTAAAAAAGCTTTATTTAATTGGCTTAAAAAATAAGCACTTATTAAGTTAAATAGTTCTAAACTCTCAAAAATATAATAGAAACTAACTCAAATGCTTTTCAAATTTACATGATCTGGGATAATCTTTAGTTAGAAAAAAAGTTTGTTAGTTTAATTACAATAGTCATGTTTTCAGAGTTATTCGCATTTAATATAATGTTGACATACTTTTGTTCTACCCCGGTTTCTTAGTAAAATAAGCTCATGTTACAAAATTTATCATTAATGGTTATCTACTTTAATGTCTCATGAAATTTTCACAAGTAATCTAAATATTTTTAAGAAAAAGTAAATTAAAGTTCGTAAGTGAACTTTTCAATAATAGTTGCTTTATGAGGTCTACTTGAATAATTTTCCAAAACTTTTTGGTAACTTACACTCTTAGCGTTTTGCTAATTTAAATGATGGGTGCTCATTGACTAGATCATTTTTAAATAAGATAAAATGCTGAACCACTACTGAACATGGGTTTCTTACTACAATATTTGGATGTATTAGTAAACATGTCCTATGCTACAGTGAAAAATTGTACTAGTAGAAAGAGGGTTATGATCTAGAAATTATTAAATGTATTCATAGATTTGCCTATCTACAGAATGCTGGTGTAACATTTCACAATTACTAGAAATTAAGGTTTTTAAGGGTTAGGGATTCTAATTAATATATGTAATTAAAACTACAAGAAATAAGAACTCTGTATACAAGGAAAGTAGGTTTGTTTTTGGTAAAAAGGTATGAGGGCTCTGGCCAGGTGGCTCAGTTGGTTGGAGCATCATCTGTGGGTTCAATCCCCAGTCAGGGTGCGTGTGGGAGGCAACTGATTGATGTTCTCTCTTCCTCTAAAATTTTTTTAAAAACGTGGGGGGAAAAAAAGTATGGAGATAGATTTTTGTTAAGGGAAATAGAAAGTTGAAGAGAGAATTTTACTTTGTGTAGTCAAGCTGGCTAAAATGGAGTAAATTTATTACAAGGGTTTTAAAAAATAAACTTTAATAAATTTCTTTCATCTGCTAAAAGGAAAAAATTTTTCTTGGTCTATTGGTTTGCTACTAATAAAAGCTAAAGAAAAACCTTTCACAATCTTAAGTAATTGGCCTAGAAAACAGATTCTTCTCTTATTAAAAGAGCTAGAGGGGGTTTTTTTTTACAACTATGTAACTTTCTGTATTTGCCTGCGAAATTTTTGTCACTTTGGTTAAATGGATAACTATATATTGTTTCACAGTGATATAGAATCCTATTTGACTGTTTTAAAATCTTTTTATATTTTTGACAAATGTTCCCCAAATCAAATTCTAAATTAAGTATTTTGAACTCAAACTCACTTCAGAGTTTTTAAGAAACCCCTGGAACATCTCAAAAGATTTGTTAAACTAATTAGGCTTGTTATACAGTCATGCACCACCTGACGCGTTATGTGGAGAAACATGTCATGAGACAGTTTTATGGAACATCATGGAGTATATTTACCCACCAAAATCTAGAAGTAATACTAAAACTTCTTTTGGTTATATCTGTATGGATATTTGTTGTTATTATGTGTTTCAAAAACTGTATAAAATTTCTAAAAATTTGATACATAATGGTATCCGTTGTTGTTATTATGTGTTTCAAAAACTGTATAAAATTTTGATACATAATGGTATCCATCATAATTCTGGGTATCATCTTAGAAATGTGTGTCACAGAAATAATTATCTTATCAATTGAATTATAATGAACTCACATCAGATCTTGAAACATGGCCATTTTTGTCATTTACAGACAGTTACTGTTTTACTTTGATGCTTTTGCAAAAGTGTTCCTGCAAAAGTGCTACGTTTTCAAGGAGACTCTAACAAGTACAGGTTTCTCATAACCTTCAGATCATACCACTGAACTGGGTAAGAATCTGCAGACCTCTGGTGGAGAACCCGATGGCTTCCTAAAACTGCTAACCAAAAAGCAAGATCAACAAGAATTAATTACATGGGACTCAATGAGTTAATGAAGATGATTATAACATTGTTGGTTCTTTTGTTTTCCCCCCAGATTTAAGGAAACCTTCTTCTTTTAAGCTATCAATAAATTGGTAAAAAAATATCTTTGTAAACAAAGATTAACATATGCAACTAAATTTGTTTTTCTAATCTATCTAATGTAAATTTAATTATGTACTAGACCAAATTTTTCTCCAGATTCTTACCCAGTTCAATGTTATGACATGAAGGTTGTCAGAAACCTGTACTTGTTAGTCTCCTTGAAAATGTAGTGCTCCCTACCTGAGCCCTCCAGAATTCAGAAACTCTTAGTGAATATTCTTACAATATAGTTATTTGCATAAGTTCAACAAGATTCTTTTCTCCTTGTAACAGATACAGTTAGAAACACTGATTATACTCTGAAGGTTTGAACTGGAATATATATTTGAGAATGCACATAGAAGGAACTAAGGTTCACTTTATGGAGCCAATGAAACACCTTGGAAAACCAGCCTGGTACCTGCTTACAGGGTTCCCAGCCAGCAGCTTTGCCAGGTGAGTAAAGAACATCACTTCCTGCCCTAACCGGTTTGGCTCAGTGGATAGAGCGTCGGCCTGCGGACTGAAGGGTCCCAGGTTCGATTCTGGTCAAGGGCATGTACCTTGGTTGTGGGCACCTCCCCAGTAGGAAGCAGCTGAATTGATGTTTCTCTCTCATCGATGTTTCTAACTATCTCCCTTCCTCTCTGTAAAAAATCAATAAAATAAAAAGAAAAGAACATCACTTCCTGGCAGATGCAGAAACCTCAGGATATCTTGGGAACCTCAAGAGGCTTTGAAAAGTTCCAGTAAAGCAGATACACAAGAGCATATATAGACGATCACTATTCCTGCTGCACTTATGTAAATAATCAGGCCAAGTTTATTGAAACTACACTTAATGTGCAAACAGATTAGTCTCACTGTGGTTACCTTTGCTATAAATGGGGTGAATGTAGAGAGAGGAATTATGTTTCAGTAATACACCTGCGCGGGTATCGGATTTTAGTGCTGTTAATTGTCTTTGATGTTTTGTCCTGTGTTTGATTACCACACATCTGCTTTCCTTACTTTCCTTCCCCTGTAAATAAAAACTACCCTTTTCCTGAAAACTGAATACAAACAACTTGATCTAAACTTTCCAGAAATCACCGCAGGATATGTATGGGCAATCTTACTGCCTGTTGCTGTGTGAGCCACTCAGAAAGTTTACCTGAGCAGCCAAACTGCAAAAGATGCTTTCATTTGACACCTAGAAATCTCAACTGGCAGCCCTCAGAATGGAGTTATGGTCTGCTCTAATCATTAACCTTTGTTTTTCTTTTGTTCCCATAGAAATGTATCTGATTGCCTACACAATATAGGCCTAACTTTAGGAGCAAACCTGTATCACCGCCTCCTGCAACCAGAGACACTGTTTAAACAGACCTATTCTCAGCACTAACAGGCTGCTTCAGTGAGCTGGAACCATCTACCCACTCAACTTTTGGACTATGAAACTTCTTGGGGACGTTTCAAAGGTGGGGACTGAAAGGAACAGAATGTGCCACTTTGGCAGGTGCATCATTTTGAGCTGAAGGGAATCAAGACCCAGCAGACTAAGGAGTTATTACTGCTCCCTTATCTGTCTAGAAGAATTTAGACAGTAGGCCTGAGCTAGAAAGAGAGCTATTACCAGAGGTAACTTTTTTTTTCTTTAAGTCTTATCTGCAAGGCAGGGCAAACATTGATTATCACACATAATGCTTTTCTCACCTTCCTTCCCTTTTAAATCCCTGGCCCCTATCCAGTTCCTGAGCTCAGGATAGTATATAAGCCTCAATTGTCTGTCTTTGAGTCTCTTATTTTTATGGGGCTCCCATAACATGTGCAATTAAATTTGTTTTTCTGTTAGAATCTATCTTATGTAAATTTAATTATGTACTGGACCAGCAGGAAAAATTTTCTGCCTTTACAATGTACACACACATGCATACCCCAAAGTATTGCAGAATTAAGAAAAGTTGTAACTTCTAAAGAAAGGGAAAAATCTTTTCTTTTTTTTTTTTTTTTTTTAATATATTTTATTGATTTTTTACAGAGAGGAAGGGAGAGAGACAGAGAGTTAGAAACATCGATGAGAGAGAAACACCGATCAGCTGCCTCCTGCACATCCCCCACTGGGGATGCGCCCGCAACCCAGGCACATGCCCTTGACCGGAATCGAACCCGGGACCCTTCAGTCCACAGGCCGACGCCCTATCCACTGAGCCAAACCGGTTTCTGCGAAAAATCTTTTCTTGAGATGAATCATTTACCTAGTTAGTTTATGGGTCTCAGACTTCTAAGTCACTACAGAGACAATTGCAAGATGCCTGTAACTCCAAATGTGTACAAGTGAATAACTTGAATGTATTGGAGGAATGTTCTAGAGATTAGTAAAATACACATTATTTTGAAAGTGAAAACAATTTTTTCAAACTACATATAGAAACCATTTTTGAGCTTTTACTTTTCCTTTTATTTCTTCAAAGCTCTTAAAATTATATTTGAATTAATGAATGATTTAATCAAAAAATTGGTTAATTAAAATGCATCTTTGACTTCTATACTCCTGAAGTTTATGGGTGTTTAAATGCATAACTACTAAACAAATTTCTGAATTGGTTTTTAAATATTCAAAATATTGGTGATTTTAAATAAGAACTTCAAGAGTTTAAATGTATAAGTGTCACTTCTAATAAGATGAATCAGAATCTGTTACTTACAGCTCAGTAAAACTCTTCCAGTCATCTTCAGTAATGGATGGCCTGGTGTGACTGAGTGCGGTCAGTAAATGTGACTGGCTGATGACCAGGTTGGTTTTGGTTGGTCCTGGTTGGTGAAGGGAGTCATCCTCCTTAAAATGAAAATGACAAAAAGTTACCTCAGGGACATGATTAAAAAGCAGCAGTCCAAGTGTTATCTCTTTTTGTCAGTGTTTCAGGAGACTTTGTGTCCCTTTCTGATAGGAAGCACACAGCGATTTGACTGATCAATGAGTTTCAGTCCCTTGTTTATAAATATAGCTCACCTACAAATCAAATAAATGTATATCAAAAAAGGAAATACAATTTTTAAAAGTTTTACAATGATAATGGATGGGGAGAGAAAAGCCATACTCCACTTTGGCTCCGGTATCTGCTCTTGATAACACTGATATCTGCTCTCAGTTGGTCTCTTTGTTCCTGGGTAAGTTCTTGGTAACCGTCTTGTGAAGCTGTTCTGAACATTGGAGGCCGTGAACACAACTGATCTTTCCCAGGAGCATCCTGAGTCATGGAGCTTGGTGCAGACAGGCACAGTGAGCTCTGCAGTGTTAGGTGCAATAATGAGGAGGAGAGAGAAAAAAAGTATGTATTTATCAAAGATAAAGTAAAAAATGTTAAGCACTAAAACCTTAAGATGGATAAGCTTATAATTTAATTAACTGAAGTTAAGCAAACTGCTTATCTATAATAATAAAAGCGTAATATGCTAATTAGACCGGACGTCCTTCCAAGCGAAGCTGGTGCCGCAGCCAGGAAGGAAGGCCTACTTTTGCACAAATCTCATGCATCGGGCATCTAGTATTCTATAAAGTCCATTTATAGCTATGTTGTTGAACCGCCAGAGTGAAAACTGCCACAACACAAGGTTCTTTTAACACTTTGTTATGATATCTACCACACTAATGTCCTCGAGATAGATTCCAAATGAGTTTTAGTTTTCAACAAATATATAAGGTTCTGAGACATTTCTATATAGAAGTTAAAAAACAGAAAAACAATGACTAGAATTAAAACAATAGCTTACTATTTTTAGGAATAAAAATGGATCACTTTTATAGTTTTAAAAACCTGAATTAACACAAATTTATAAAAACCAAGAAAAAGATAACTAAATATCTGTAAAAATGTTATATGTGCCAATAAAGTAACTGCAAGCCACTGTTAATTTTGGGGGAGAATGTGTTGAATGCTATTTTAATTCAGGAAAACAATGATACTGCCCATATTTAATCTTAACATTTTTCTTGTGGAAACATTACTACTACTCATAACATTTTTATTGTGCTTATACTTTCCACCAAAAGTGTTACAAATAGATACCATTTTGTGGTAAAAAATTTTTGCATTATACCAACTTTCTCATTTTCCTCAAATGCTCTATAATAATAGAATTTAGGTTTAATATAAAATGGATCTGCTACTAAAGATGTCTGAGAACCAGTAATGAAGGGAGATAAACCTGAAAGAAACCAACTGGCTACTTTGGCGCCCACTTGTTGCCAACTCTGTCTTAGTTCTTACCAAGGAATAAAAAATGACTAATTAGTGTAAGGAAAACAAGACTGTTTTACTGAAGAACCAGTCCATCAGAAAGAACATGTGGGGCTGGTTAGGAGACAAATCACTGTCCAACTTGATATCCCAACACTATACGATGACTGTACAACATACCAAATCAGAAGAGGTTCCATTCCCAAGTTCCGATTCATAAGAGCTTCCAAAGTAGAGCCGGTACATATTGAATTTTGACTCATCTGGAAGCATTTCAGACATCTCTAGAGAAACAAGAGACTGCTCTAAGCCATATTCTCCATCCCCAGCTGAATCGTCAGAGCCACTGCTGTGGTTAAGAAAAACCATTGAAGACAGACTTAGGTCACTGTCGGAACTGGAACTTCCATCCTAAAACACAAAAGGGCAACCAGTTGTAAAGATCTAAATAATACTAGTACAATTCAGAAATAAACAACACAATACTTTCTAACAGACCAGTACAAGGAAACTTGAGGTATTTTTCAAAAAAAGCTCTTATTCTTGAATGGTTCTGAAGACATAATAAAAATTAAACTATTAAAATAAAAAAAGGTAAGATGGAATTGTAGATAATGTGCCAATCACCTCCCCACCACCCTCAACTCTGTAACAAACTTGGGAGTTAGACCTCTGATTTTATTTTTATGTTTCTTTCAATTCAAAATTTTCTACTCTAAAATGACTCAACCATGTTATAGAAATCTTTACAGATACATACCTTTTCTGGTAATAAAAGGGGCAAAATGAAGAGCTTCAGTGGCTTGTTGAAATTAATAACAAAACTTAGTATCTGATTTAGGAACATCAGGCTCTGCAAGAGTCTCCAATAAAATGTAGGGAAGAGGAGTACACAAGAAAACCCTTCCTAGAAAATGTATGATAAAGCCCATAATGTAGCAGAGTTCAAATTATCTGCCATAAAAATCACTATCCGTAGAGAACAGGCTGATTTTAGGACTGGGGTACAGAAAGTACAAGATAGATGGAGAACACTCTGTTGTATTGGGAAGTAAGTTAAGTGACCAAAGAATAAGAGGACATATCAAAGGGACACAGAAGCCATCCAAAAGCAGCTCCTATTGGCCAGATCTGGGACAATGACCTTCAAAATAAATATACTTTAGTTAAAAAAAAAATAAAGTTAAAACTAAAAACTCCAATATTTTCCTCACTATATTATCTAATTCATGATATCCTATTTTAAATAATATCCTTCCACACACCAACATATTTTGCCAACAGTAAGGTAAGGTTAACACGTTAAGCGCCCAGCTTAACGTGTTTTGTCTTCCGGACGGAAAGTATAGTGTCAGTCACTGGTGACTGATAGGGTGCTTAACGTGTTAAAGAAAAAGACACTCAACTCTTTCTTCATAATTACAAACTCTCTGCAAAGCCAATATTCCAGTGAGGGAACATCTGACTAAAGGTGAATTTCTATCTAGTTTACCAAAGTTGCTAAAAAATAGGAATTTTTTTAAGATTGAGATTTTGATACTGAGCTTCTCTTATCGCTCATAAAACACCTTAGCAACGATCTCAAATAACTTACTGGGAGTCCACAGGACAGCAGCCGTCCGTGCAAGGCCTCTAGCTGGGCATTGTACAGTAAAGCTTTCAGATCAGCTCCCGTAAAAGAGTCAGTTACGGAGGCCACATGCTGCAGGTCCACATCATCCGCCAGAGGTAGAGGGCCACTGAGAACGTTTAAAATTTCAAGACGTGACACCTGAAGGGAGAAAAACTGATTTAACCAAAAAGGCAAAATTAAATATTAAACTCTGTATCTCACCATTTTTAATAAATTAACTTTACATATCTAATAAATGCACCACCAGTCTACTATTTATCCTCCTTAGAACTTTCCCCTAACAGAAGGAACAAAGGGAGGAAAATGAACAAAAACATTCTGAACTATTCAGTGTAAATCATTTCTTATTCAGACAGTGCTTATATTCTAGACGGGCAAATGTGCTGAGAAAGTGTTTCAAAAGGAAAATTAAAATAATTTAAATAGCTACATGTGACAAAGTTAGGTATTTTATACCTTTGACTATTTTTTACCTTTGGCTAGTTTATAAACTTGGGAACAAGACTTGGAACAACATAGGACTAAGAACAGTTAAAAATCATATCTTTATGTACCCTGTCATATGCTTGATTCTGTATCAGAGTCTTTTGCTGGGATAATGAAATGTGTGATCTTTAAACACAGCACATGTGGACATGCAATACTTGAGGTTTCCTTCCTTTTACCCCAACTGGCCAACACTGACGATCATACAGTTTTCACACTTGCATGGAAATGGCTGGGCCAAAGAGAAGCTTTGTATCTAATTCAGAATCTTTTCACGCTTTGAGCAAACAGTGACTACGACCTTTGCCTAAAGCTGTTCTTCTGAGGACAACTGCCATTACATGGCAGAAGTTCACAAGGAAAGAGTGTAGCATGTGTTGGGTTTGGACTCTAAATATGAAATTGTCACCTGATCAGGAGGAGGACAGTATACACATTTATCTAGTCGGCCAGGCCTAAGCAGCGCAGGGTCAATCAAGTCAGGGCGACTAGTA